CACACACACACACACACACACACACGCACGGCCGTTCCCGGGGCCGTGGCGGGGGGAGGCGGAGCGTCCGGCGAGGAAACGGCGGGTTTTGGTGGGAAATCGCCCTCCGGAGGCGGAAAGTTCCCCGTCCGGTCCCCGGTGTTTCTGTGTCTTCCCCTCCGTACCGGCCTCCCGCAGCGGGGAGGGTCCCCCCGGTCCCCCCCCCGGTTCCTCGTCATTAATTTCCCGACTTTCCGTCCTTCTCGCCGCCCGGGTGATGTCAACACACAGAAATTGCAGCCGTCATCACCGGTGGAAACGGGATTGTCCTGCCCGATGTCACCAGGAACGGGCAAACCGGAGCGGCAGTTTCCACCGAGGGGCCAAGTTTGCTCGGGAGGGGTAGCGAGAGGAGCTGGGGGGGTTCTCGGGGCACCCCCAGGCACGGGCGCGAGGGACTCTGAGGGTTGGTTTTTTTTTTTTCCACCATCAAGAAGTTTCTAATCACATTTAATGGAAAAAAAAACCAAAACCAAAAACCATTCGGCCTTTCTCCGGCCTGTTGACTTCGTTGGGATGTAAATAATTACACGGTAAAGTCAACCCAATTCAGCATCTTCTGGTGCGTTTTTTGCCCCCGAGCTGCGTCCGGCCCTGATTGGCGCGGTGTAATTACACGTAATTACACGCTTCGCTCCCTCGGCGTGCGCCAGGTGGGCAGCCCCCGCCACGAGGCGGTTGGGGAGAAGGTGCAGATTTACAGAACGGGTTTATAAAAATCCACAAAATGGGGTTCTGGCTTTTTTTTTTTTTTTTTAAATTTTTATTTTCCCCTCCTCAGTTGGATGTTGCGTGCGGTCGCCCCTCCCTGCCCGCGCCCCCATTTCTCTATCGCGGCGGTGACGATAAAACCGTGTTGGGTGTTGGTTTGTTTTTTTTTTTTAATCTCTGCCCTAAAGTTTCACTGGTTTTGGGTACGCCTGTTGCTATCGTGCGCTGACAGCGAGGGCGCACCGAGGCGGCGGCGTTCCCGGGGCCAGGTACCGGATTCCTGACGGTTGAGAGGATTCTGTGAATATGAGGAGAAACTGGGCATTCAAAGAATGTCATAATTTGGGTTTAAAGTCGACTCTTTCAGGTAACTCAGCTGCAGCCTGGAGGGCAGTGAAATCCGTGTGTGCTGTGGGCCACGTGTAGGACTGTTGCTCCTTCCCAAACCTTCAGTTTTTCTTTCCTACCGGGTACTGTATCACAGAAAGAACTGCCCGCAGCTCCTGTGGGTTCTGTAGGCGTGGATTTAGCTCTGTTGCATTAGGCCTGCAGTTTTCTCTCACAACGTCCTATTTAAGATAATCTTGAGCGGGATAAATTTGGCAGGAACTTTACTTTCAAGAGTTGAGGAATGGGCTTTGAAAAATGGCCTGACCATTGTTTAAACTAAATTACTTTAACATTGTCTTAGAAACGCAGTCAGACTCCAGCTGGAGCACAGCAGGCTTTGAAGGCCCCCACATTTTAAAAGAAATTTTGGTGTATTTATGCATAAAAAGAGGCTTTTGTTTTCTAGACAAGAAGTTTGTGGGTTTACTTAGACCTCCCTAAGAGGACGTGTTGCTGAGGAAGTAAAACTAGGGCCTGGTTAAACCCATCACACAAGTGATACGGGGATGTGGATGGAGTGCTGGGACTTCTCACACCTCAGGAACACAGCGTTGAGTGCTGTATTTGGGGATTTTTTAAATTCTTTTTTATTAAAAATAGCATATTGTTATAGGTTTTGTGTATTATTTTAATGCTGAGTGAACGTGGAGGGTTCTTTCAGTGCAAGCAATGATAATTTTTAAAATCTAAGTTGAAAACTTGGGTGAAAGTTTCACTGAAATGAAATTAATCTGCCAGGGATGAGTTTAGTGCTGCTGTTAAACATGTTACCTTATACCTTAGTCTTCTTCATGAGAGTTCATGGCCATGTTAATTATGCAATTATCCCTGGGTCTGGTATCCACTGCCCTGTACCTAAACACCGCTTTTGAGACCCGGGTGAGAGTACAGTCTGAAGGCTTAGGATTCATTTTCTCTCTCCCTCTCTCCCCCCGTTTTTTCCCTCATCAGGCAAGGACAATAGGCTGCACTAGGCTGTCTCCTCAGCTGCCTTTGTTCTCAGGCTGTTTGTCTTGGGCTTGATATTATCAAACATCTCTGTAGGCGAATGGGTTTTACACTTCTTGTGGCCGTGTCATGAAGGAGAGTGGCCCATCGACTTCAGCTTGTGGGATTTTTGTTAAAAGCTTGCCTTCTGATACTGGCTGGCAGCTCAGCAGTAGCTGGGAGGAAGCTGAGCACCTGTATTTGTGCCGTTCCCAATAGCTGGAGAAGTGGCTGGCGAGCAAGGAGGAAGGTCAATTTGTATTTATATAAAAACCATGTTGAAACCCAGCTATAACGGCGATCTAAATATTATTTCTGAATTACAAAAGTGGTCCCATGAAGCAAAAGAGACTTTCTTGGAGGCGTGTGTTGCAGCTAGATACTTCTTTCCACTGGAAGTCAGTGGAAGTTCAGCACCCTGCTGCTGGTTGCCCCTGAAAATCGGCGGCGGTTGGGTGAAACCTCGGCTCCCACTTTTACATGGTGCTCACCACCCTTCGGATGTGTTTTCAACTCAGCAAAGGATGTAATTCTCTGGTTTGAGTAGACATTAGGATGGATTCTGTGTTAATGGTGTAATTAACATTGTCCCTTCCTGGAGAGAAGGGGGAAAACGAAGCAGCAAACGCTGGAAGAGTTTCAAAAAGGCAAAATTAGGACGTGTGGTAAAATGCTGTTAAATACAATGTGCTTTCCCTTGGATCCAGTGGCCACTCATGTGAACTGGGCGAGTCAGTGAGGGGCACTTGGGTTCCATGTTGTTCCCACCATTCAGGATCTATGTGCTTCAAAACCACCAGGGTTTTTTTTCTACGTTTCAGAGGGATTCCGTGATTAGATTTTATAGAAGCGTACTAACTCAAGAAGGAACTTTTTATCCCCACATATAAAAGAGGCTTTTGGTAGAACTGAAGGTGCTCACGGTTCCTTTAAGCAATGCAGAATTTTCAGTTTTAAGGCCTGCATATTTTTACAACCGTTTGCTCCTAGTGATGGCAGAGCGTGGCACTTAAATGAAATACATCACCAGAATTTGCACATTTCTGTCTTAATCTTCTGCACTAACCTGCCGTTGCTGAAGCGCGATCCAAGAGCTCGGTAAGTCTTGGCATCTTTCGCCGCCTTTCCTGGTGGCGTTCACTCATTCTTCCTTCTTCCATTTCAGAAAACATGCCTTGAACTGCCACAGAATGAAGCCTGCTCTTTTCAGCGTGCTGTGTGAGATCAAGGAGAAAACAGGTGCGTTGGTGTCTTTTCTGGCCTCAGCTTCCCCAGACACCCCCCCTAGTCACTCATCAGCTTGGCTCTCCTTTAACACGGCCCCTATTTTCCCTGATAGACTCTACAATTTAAAGCTGTTTTTGTTTTTTACTTAATCAGAGAATCATTTAGGTTGGATAAGACCTTTAAGATCATCTTCTGAAGCTGGAAATTGTTTTGATGTGTTTTTTACAGTGCTGTCTGTGTGCAGGTTTGGAGAAAACAGTGCTGCTTATTCGAAGGAGTGTTGTGGTTGTGTGTACGTAAAGAATCTATAGGTGTGTGTGGGGGGGGTGATGTCTCTAGATACCTAGAGAATCCTGAATAGTCCTGCTGTTATGCTCTTTTTTCCTTTAAGGAATCCATACCCAAATTGTGGTGGTAGTAAGAGTTCAAAGTTGACAAATAACTGTATTACAGAGAAAAAGAGACAGTAAGGCAGAACACTGGTGGTACTGGGAAACCCAGAAGTAGCAGGAAATGGAGTTGATGCTCACGCAGCTTTTTTTGAGGAGCACTGGGGTTTGCAGTTTGAATTACCCAGTATACACTCATACGTGAACGCTTAAGCAGTGTTGTTTGAATATCCAGTTTCTATAAACTCTAGTGAATTTTGATGTTTGAGGTTTTTTTAGAGAATAACTACTTTCATTATATGTACCTAAAATGGTGGTGTGTTTGGGTTTTTTTTTAACTTACAGCTGTATTAACATTTAACATCCTAAACCTACCTTTGTAGTATTTTTTTTTTTTTCTAAAATACAGAACCTTGCAGTGCTCCTCACTGTGCTGCCAAATGAGGGACCAGAGAGGTCTGTCCTCGGCGGTGCCCTTGTCACAGGAGGCAGCTTGGAGGCAGACATGACACGTTCATTTCAGGAGAGTTTGGTTGCATATATTGCCTTCTCGTGAGAGCACTTTGGTCCTGAAGAAAAATGTTGTGGTAGTAAGTGCTGTCTGGGTGTGCTTTTATGTCTGTCTGTCTGTCTGTCCTTGGAGGATTGCTGTCCTTAAAGAGGGTCTTTCGTCTGTTTTTCTATACGGAAAGCTTCCTCCTGCCTTTTATTGATTGAAACTGTGACTTCTCGGAGCTAAATACACTTGCAGGAACAGACCCTGCTATGGCATTATGCTGGATTTGTTTTGGTCTCATAGGTTTTTGAATGTCTGATGGTCTGTCTATTCCTTATTTAAATTATGGGGAGCAGATGTTATGGCTTCAAGCAAACAAAAGCCTGGACATACTGTAGCACAAGGTTTTGGGCTTTCTTTGTGACCCAGGCACACAAGCTTCTTTTTCTAGCTCGGAAATCAGTTTCAAACATGTTCCTCCCCCCCCATCTTTCTTTCGTTCTTTGTTGGAGCGCCAGTATCATTCACAATAGCTCAGGATAAGCCGTGCGCTTTGCAACGGGCAGCCAGCTGAAGGGTGCTGAGAATTTCTCCCCACTAATGTTTATCAATTAAAAAGAAATGACAAAACGATTCTGTAATTTAAATAGATTTGGCCACATTTAATATTTTGGTCAAGACCTGGGTTCTGCCCCCCCTCCCAAAAAAAAGGTGTGGGTTGGTTTTTTTTAAATTTTAAACCAGCTATGGGAAAAACAGGTATTTTATTTTCAAGTCTTAAATAACTGCCTGGAGCATATGTCACTATTTGAAGAGGCATCTAATCCAGGAAAGCCTACTTAGGTTTTTTTGGGAACCCTCAAAAGCATTTGGAGCATTTTTCATGTGTGCAGCAGATAAGGGTTGTGCTGGTTGGGTTACACTTCAGATACAACTCAAACATGGCACGATTCTATCTTAAAATCAGAATTAAACATCTGTCATGTTAAAAATGCACGCTTTTGGTGCTGAATATTAAATTTCTGAGGTTTTCTTCTCGGCTGATTATACCGTGCTAGGAAGATGCTCGTCTGTGATGGGCTCCAGGCCCCTTGGGGCAGGGGAAGTGTATTTCTACCCACTTTTGCGGAACGCGCTGCACAGTGGGACTCTGATTCTGCATTTCTGGCCTGGGGTAGGGAACGTGTTTGTTGCAGCTTTGTAACATCAAGTACCATTTCTGATTGTTTTCGTGGCGTTGCTAGCTGCAAGCCTCTGTCCTTCCTCGAATGTGCTGGCGCTTGGCTGGGTTAATTCAGCGGGCACCTTTTAATTTGGTTATAAAACTTGGCAAGCAGCGTGGCAAAGGACACGTTTCCTCTTTGTTGGGGAGTTTGTTGACATTCTTACGTAGCCGAGTCGTGTTCCTCAGCGCTCAGAGCCCCGTGGGCTTTTGTCTTCTGTTTCCATTCGCTCTCTGAATGTGCCGAACTGTCTCAGATCTGGAGAACGCGCTCTCTGGTGACGGTGCTTTGAGACTGGCTGAGCCCGGCAGTGTGGGGCTCTGCAGTGGGGTGCTTGGGGGGGGCTGCTGTCCCCACGGAGAAATGGGGGTGCAGAATCTGCTTGCTACTACACGAGGGGTGCGTGGGGTATTTGGGTAGCGTTCAGAAGGGATTCGTGATTGGTTTAAGTGACCTGTATTAAAAAAATAGACTCCTGCCTTCTCACCTAACAGTGGGATTTGGGGGCTGCCAAATCCAGGCAGACTTCTGTCTGACTAAAAAAATCAGGAGTCGGTATTTAGCATGAGTTCTAGGATAAATATTTGCCTGTGTAACATAAGGGACAGGATCATCTGGGAAAAACTGAGATGTGGATGAGGAGGGGTGCAGGTCCACCCCCCAAGTGCCTACTTCTACTCTCCACGGGTATTTTATACATCACACAGTATGGGCTGTTCATTTCTGGGCCTAATACGGCAGGTTTCGGTTCTCACTTTGTGTATTCCAGACCCAGGAGACACATTTATCGTGCTGTTCTCCCTCTGTCGTGTGTTATCGTGTGCTACTTGCTCTACGAAGGAAAATCTGGAAAGGAAAGCAAGTCTAAGCAAAGTGTGCATCACTTATTTTGGTACCAGTGATCTTGTACAGTTCATTACAGAACTGCTAATCTTTAATTAATGAGATGTAAATACATTGTAATGATTGCATTTGCATACTGAGTGAGGCTTCAGCACCTTAGGTTGTGATGTATTTTAATTAAAGATTAATTAGAAATGATGGGAATTTCATTTTGCTTAGTGTAATTATTTTACATATTTGATGAATATCTGGTAGGTGATGTGCCAGAGAATGCACAATATTATATTAGCACAGCTGACAGGAGTGACTCTTCAGTGGGTTTTTTTTTTCTTAAACATCCATAAAAGTGATGGATTATGAAGGATTGAAGTGTGAAGGATTTTACTGGTTTGCAAGGACTTTCTAAATCATGCTTAAAACACTGGCTCTGCTGTAACTCCTGTTTCTCAGCCTCTTCTCTCAAAGCCTTGAGTATTAACGGAGTTGTGATACGTTCTTAAACTATTGTGGGAACTTCCAAAATTTGGTGGCCAAAATGCTACTGAGAGGGAGCTTTCCAGAGGAGCGTCCTCCTCGGAGTACCAGTAGATAATAAGCAGCGTGTAAGGACAGGTGTGTGTAAGAAGTTGGTGTTGACCGAGAGGCTTTTTTTATTGTGGTAACTTTTCTCCTTTTTGGAATCCTTTTTGTTTAATGAAATCTCGTTCTTCCAGAAGCCCCCCCAGACTGCAAATTCCTGCGGGTGTAATTTTGGCAGAAATGGGTGATGCCTGACCCTCAGTGTGCCGAGAGCTGGCAGGGCAGATGCAGTTACCCTGACAAAACTCTTAGTGCTTCTGGAATTGTTTTTTCCAGCCCGTCCAAAGAGACTCACAGAGGCTGGCACGAGCGCAGGGTTCCTGTAGCTGTGACAGTTTTGCTCACCCGTTGAGCCACCTTTTGAGATCAGCTGCTCTGCAGGGTTGTAGATGAGCAACTGCAGCTTTTCTCCGTGGAAATCAGAACTGGCTGCTGCTTGCAGCAAACGGAGTTACGAATTCACTGAACGGGTAGTTTTGAGTGAATCTGATGTAACTTCTTATTATCATTAGGTGAAGATACTAGGAGTAAAAATAAAGTTTAAGCAAAAAGTATCCGTTCCAGGAGATGCTGGCTTTAATTTAATGATAATACCCGTGGCACTGATTTCTGTAGAACTTGCGTTCTACATGTATGAATATGCAAAGAAGTTTAAAATCAGCCTGATGGAGCGGGTCAAACAGAGCAAGCTTCTTGCTCTCATTGATCCTTACGTCCACTCACCTTTGCAAGAGTTTATGAAATAAAACTTTGAACTGCTCAGTTGGGAATGTGGTTTACGATATGTTGATGATGGTGAAAACTCCTTTCTAGTTTCCTGTGACTTGCTCGAGCCAGCCAACCAGAGTCTTCCCTCGAGACTGGGAAGGTGCTTTCTACATGCTTTGCAGCAGTCAACTCGAGATGAGCTTATGTGTAATTGATGATAACTAATGTCTAATTACCATAATTAGACAAGTGACATAAAATTAAGCTGCAGCTGGGAGCTTGACTTCAACATGAGGTACTCTGATATGCATCATAATGTGCATAAAAAGACGTTTGGCAGAAGCACATTCAGATAAGAAGGTGACACCAAAATATCTGTTCCACTGAATTTCCTCTTGCCAGTCCAAGTAGTTTAATGTGAGTTTTCTCAAAAAGACTAAGCAGCAAATGGCTTCTCTCAAACTCTCTGCTGGGTCTTCTGGAAGAAAGAAAAAAAAAACAAAAACCACCACAACAAATTTTTAAAAATCCCCTTTTTTTGGTTGTTTCATTTCTTGTAACATTGGCTCAGTAAAGGGTGTATGTAGTAGATGCTATTTTTTTTAATGTATTAATTTTAATTCCATAATGAGTTAGAAAAGCCACTAACTTTTAAAATAGCCAACACTTCCCTCATTGCTGTCTTAGCTTGAGTTGAGCAGTTCCCTGTGTACTACGTTACTCACCTTTTTCCGCTTGCAAAAAGGCTGGGGATGTTTTGGAGGAGGCCTGGATTCCTGGGACAGCACGAATTCGGGTCTGCAGCTGCTCCAGAGCACTCTCTTCATCAGAACTGTGTCCTAATTTCTGTATAGCCTGCAAACTATTAAGTTCAGCAATGTCACTGTAAGTTTACGCTGTTCAAAATTATCATTGTTTTTTTTTTAGATGAGCTATTCTTTTGCCTACAAAATGCTGAAAATGGTTACAAACGCTTATGTTTGATGTTTCTACATATTCATAGTTCTCCTGCCCTCACACTAGAATTTTTGCATAAGAGATCTTAAGCGTTTATCTTTGGTGGGGAACGTAATATTCCGTTAACCTGCCAAGGACAATTTGGAAAAGGTCGTTTGAATTTTGTAGCTTCATAAGGTTAAGACCAACTGTTCATCAAACTAAAATTGTCTAAGCAATTAAAATCAAATTAAAAGCCAAAAAGCTGTTGGCATTTTTTTGTACTGACTCAGTATCTTGTGAGTTCTTAACGCTTTTTAAAAAAGGAAGTTCATAATAAATTGTCAAAAGATTTGGGGAATTAAGTTTTTAAAATAAAATTGCTTGGAATCAAACTTGAATAATTCGAGCATGCAGACTGCTGCAGTCTGGGTTTGTTGAACATAAGGAAATTGGTTTCTGGTGCGTTTTTTCACATTGTTTCAGATTTTGATAGATTCTTAAATAGATTTGAATGGATTTTAAAATTCAGCACCGTTAAGACTTCAGTTTGTAGCCTGCTGCTGCGGAGCACAGTGGTATCCTGGGCATGTCAGGTGGACAAGATCAGACTCAGGCCTTGGGTACAGATTCCCCCAGGATCTTGCACTCCTGTGGTGCTCCTTTCCATCCCAGCAGCTCAGGCCTTTTGTCCATCCGCCGTGGTCTGTCTGCAGGAGCTGGTGCTGAGTGCTGTGGAGGACGGGGTGAGGAGCCAGGCAGCAGGCTGATACATGGGCATCTCCTCTCTAAAAGCCTCCTCCTGATTTTTACAGGCTGCTAAAATACTTTCTATTGTCATATAAACTAGTACGACCCCAAGGAGTCTACTACCTCCCTGCATTTGAAAACTTCCCTCCTGTTTTGGTGCTTCTCAATCTAACAGGTGTCCTGTTTGTTTGGATGTGTTGCCTAGTGGCTTTGTTAAACGCTCCCTTTTTTTTTTTTTTTTTTTTTTTTTTTTTTTTCCTTGAGCTCAAGACCTGCAAAAACCTCTCAAGGGCGTTTAAATGCTTTGCCAGAATTGAAGTGGATGCTTTCTCCTGTTTCGGAAATAATCTGTTGATTCCCTCTTTATATTTATCTAGTGTTAAGTATTCGCGGTATTCAGGAAGAAGATCCCCCAGATGCTCAACTAATGAGACTAGATAACATGTTGCTGGCAGAGGGTGTCTCCGGGCCCGAGAAAAGAGGAAGAGGAGGACCGATGGCTGTAGCAGCAACATCAGGTGGCTGTCCAAATGACAATAGCATTGAACACTCTGACTACAGGGCCAAGCTGTCACAGATCCGACAGATATACCACTCTGAGCTAGAGAAATATGAACAGGTGATCTTTCTGCATGGAAGAGTTTTTATCATCTCAATTAAAAATAACCGTTTTTTCCTTTGGTGTTGGTTTTAAGAACAGAACAGGAAGTATAATGAATTCAGGTGAACGCGAGGGTATCAAATTCAGTTGAAAACTTAGTGTTACGGAAGTAAGGCGAAGATAGAGGGACTGGACATCAAACTAAAGATAATAAATGTCTTGTTTATCTTTGTTGCCGTTTTTTAAGAGTAAATAGAGTAAAGCTGAAACATGGAAGCTCCTCTAAAGTTTTGTGGATATATATTCGTGTTGGGGAAACGAATTCTGGGGTATTTTATGGTTTGTCGATACAAATATGTGTGTTTTCAGGCCTGCAGTGAGTTCACCACCCACGTCATGAACCTGCTTAGGGAACAGAGTAGAACCAGACCAATTTCGCCAAAAGAAATCGAGCGCATGGTGAACATAATCCATGGCAAATTCAGCACCATCCAGATGCAGCTGAAGCAGAGCACGTGCGAGGCAGTAATGATCCTGCGCTCCCGCTTTCTTGATGCCAGGTACGAGAAAACATGGTGATTGCATCAGAAATCTCGAGTCTGTCATTCCCAGTGTTGATCCAGTTTAAATGTGAAGAATCCGCTACCCATTTTGCTTTGACATCAACATCGATTTAATTCCATTTAATTCTTACATTCTCCTTCAAACCAAATGTATTTTAGAGGGGAAAAAAGCCAACAGTGTACTCTGTCCAGTCTACTCTGTAACACCATTTAAACAGGAATTATTCATATTTTTATAGGCGTAAACGACGTAACTTCAGCAAACAGGCAACGGAAGTACTGAATGAATATTTTTATTCGCATCTGAGTAATCCTTACCCCAGTGAAGAGGCCAAAGAAGAGCTAGCAAAGAAAGGTGGCATCACGGTTTCACAGGTATGAAGTGTTTTATCTCGAATTAAGCGACTTTTTTTTCCTCAAACAATGGTTTGGTTGGGGTTTTTTTCCCCCCACAGTTAGCAACAGACTTTAGTTACTTGTACTTTCAGTAGGATTTAAGTTATTCCGAAGGGTTTAGTAGTAGATATTTTCTGCTTGAAGGCTAGTTTAAAACATCTCCTTTGCTGGCAACTTCTGAATACGGTGGAAAATAGAATATTTGATCAGATGCTAACAGCGATATGTATCTCCAGGTTTCCAACTGGTTTGGTAACAAAAGAATTCGATACAAAAAAAACATGGGGAAGTTCCAAGAAGAAGCCAATATTTATGCTGCAAAAACAGCAGTGGATGCAACTAATGTCGTGGCTCAAGGCAACCAGGCAAATTCTCCGTCTACACCAAATTCAGGTGAGTGGGAGCCGGCGAAGAGGCCATGTGCTCGAAAGTCTTGTAATTATTTCTTGTGACAATTAGTACCACGGACTACTGGTGTTGGAAACAGTCATAGGATTTCTTTTTCTTTTAAACTTAAATAATGTAATACTCACTGACGAAACATTTTTGGTGGGTTTCGTTTCTCATTAAAATGTTTGTTTTGTTTTGTTTTGTTTTGTTTTTTCCTAGCTTCCTCTGGCTCTTTTAAGATGACAAATTCTGGAGATTCGTTTATAAACTTGCAGTCATTGACTTCCTACCAGAGCTCCCCAGTGGGAGCCAGTGTGCAGTCGCAGGTCAGTACGGAAGAAAAAACCCCATACTTTGGGCAGTAAAGTAAACGTTAAAATCCAATTTCTCTGTCCTTTATACCCTGTGGTTGACCAGGGAGGTTGTGGAGTCTCTGACCTTGGAGATATTCAAAACCCAACCTGCTCTAATTGTCCCTGCTTCAAACAGCAGGGTTAAATTAGACAATCTTGTTTTATTTTTTCTAATAATTTTTTTATCTTAATACCAGATAGGGGTGGATTTCTCTGTCTGTAGCCAGCACTGGCTAGGATCCATGAAACAACCTAGAATCAAATTTCTCAAATGAGTCAAGAAACAAACCTGCTTCAGTGTGTATTTTCTCTTGGAACTGGAATTTTTTCTTGAAGAATTAACTGATAACTAAAATAACCTACTGCTATTCTTCCATCCTTTTAAATTTACAATAGTAAAATGGGGTTTTCTCTTTTTAGAGTCTTGTCTTATTCCATATAAATAGAACTTTGCTTGGGATTTGTGGTTAACAGCACTGTCAAACTCATCTTCTGCTGAATTTCTAAACATATCTGAACTGCAGAAAAGCTGTTCCTCTGTTATAAAAGCTGAGGGTGATTGTTCCTCTGTTATAAAAGCTGGAGGTGATAGGCTCTGATTCTGCCTGATAATGAAACAGCTATGGATAGCTCAGTTAATAGCAAGAAGCTGCAAAGAGAACTTGCTCCTTGCAAGAAAACCTGCCCCTTGTTTAAAGAATTTTTGGCCCAGTAGATACATAACACATACTGCTGGCGTTCCTTTAACTTGACTTTTTTATCCTTATTGTTCTCGTTGTGTGGGATCTTGTTCTAGATGGATTCCTTACATCACGTCATACACCAGACGGGAAGATATGACACAATTGTGGGGAATCCTTTGTATACGACGCAGCGCATAGATGTAAGATGTACTGAGGTTTTATTTACTTAGAAACATAAATTCTGCCTGAGATTAGTTTATAATCTGTAAATAAATGTTGACTTTTTAGTCCCTTGATGTGGCAATAGGAAAAAGCTGGAAAGATGTAGTTTAATAGACCAGCCTTCCCCTTCCAGAGCCTTGATTGAAAATTTTGGCTTTGATCACCAGAAGATTTGTGCCCTTCAGTTAATCCTTGCCATAAGGATGGCACTAGGAATAAGAGTAACATAAAATCTTGGGGGGCGGGGGGGAAGAGGTTTTATGCGATATTCATGGATTGTGCTTTGTCAGAACCTATACATAGTTATTTCATTTCAAAAGCGCTGTCACTTGTAAGGTGTATAAAGGCAGATTTTTTTTGCAAATAGTTGCTTAAACATGTAATGAAACGATAAATTTTTCTCCCTTCAGGCTAATGGCAGCTGGCAGGATGCTACCACCCCTTCATCAATCACTTCACCTGCTGGAGACCCTGGAAGTGTTAATTCGGATGCGTCTAATTAAGTTTTTAGGACCTATTGATGAGAGGAAAGAGGTCATTAGTGTAATTTGTCAATGTTGCTCTTTTGCCAATACTATTGTTTATACAACTTGACACACAGCTAATTACCTCAGAAAAAACCCTGGAACCAATAGACGATTGTGATTACAATGATACCTCTCTACCTCTCAGCCTCACGCAGTTGAGTTCTTTTTACTTATGCCCATTGGGATGTGAAATTGTTTTAAAAGAACTTGCTTCATTTTCCTAACCAAATTCATTTTTTAAAAAATATGGATTTTATGGTAAGAATCTGAAAGTGTCTCTTCTGGAACTTGGCGTTTGTCTCAAGTTTTACAGCTTAAGAAAACTGACTTATTTTAATTTCCATAAAGTTTTTTACTATGAAATTTCTGTTCTAGTTGATAGCTACTACCAGTTAACCCCCCTGTATTGTAATTGTATGCGTTCTCTGTATTGTAATTTTGTATAGGAAAATAAGCTTTTCTTAACTAGAATTCATTCTGAGCTAATTAATCAGAACGTTGCTTTACCAAAACTCTCACTGGACTTTGCTCTCGGGTAGGACCTTCCATCCTGTGTCATTCCACGTAATTCTAATTTAATGTCTAGTAAAAACAAACAAACAAACCAACCACCCACCCCCCTACCAACACAAACCCACCTGACTTCCCCCATGGATAATAGGTTTTTGTGCATTTCCGCAGCTGTTAACACAGAGTCCACCCCTTTCAGTTGAGATTTTATCAAAGATAATAAACTTCCAAAGCCTTTTTTTTTTTTTTTTAATTTCTGCCCGTTCCGCTGCCCCGGGCTCGGAGGCCGCGGCGGTGCCTCAGGGGAGGGCGGGAGGGGCGGGGCGGGCGCTGCGCATGCGCGGGCCTGAGGGCGCCTTCCCG